GTACTGCGAGAGGCAAATTTGTATTTTCAACTCCTAGGAGCTTCAGGTGTAGTCCAAGGTCATGTTGTGCTAGATGCTATACAACTGTAGAACAGAAGATGCCTCTTGTCCTGCTGGGCTTTCAGCAGTGGCTTGCCTAGGGTAGCTTCCCCAACGGGCTTGGGTAGGAGCCTGTAGAGTTGCAGGTTGCAGATAACGGCCCATGTGCAGGTACTCACGTAGACCAGGGGCATAAGCTTCTGCATGAAGTGTTGCCGACTGACAGTAGCTCTCCATGCCTGTGCTTCCTCTGTGGCTCTGGTCCTTACCTGCACAGACAGTTATTTTGGAACGGTAACTGCCCATGTAAAATGCTGGGCCCAGCCGTGGAGGCTGTTAACTGGACCCTCGGTATGTGGGGAGACAGGAACGTGCTTGAATTGGCAGGGTGAAGGAGGTAAGTGGAAACATCCCCTGCGTGGGATTACAGTTCTAGGGGCTTAATGAGAGGGTGGTGAGGGATGTAGGTATATGCTGCATTCTGCACTCATATGCAGGCTGGTCTGGTCCTGTCTCTGCGCCTGGTAACACCGTTGGCACTCCAACAGTGGGGGCTGAGCGTCCTTGTCTTTGTCTTTGGGTAAATTCAGGTGCTGTACATAACCAAACACAATTTTTCAGGGTGTGGCAGTGGTCATGTACAACTCAACACATGCTGCTTTTTAGTTTTTATCATTCCCACATAAAAAGACATCCTAAAGACTTAAATTAATTGCTTCTGAAATATTCCAAGTGTGGAAATGTCTGTCTACTTAAGAATAACAATGAGACAAAAGTAAATTATGGTGAGTAGAATAGCACCACAAAAAGCTTTGGAGTGTATTCCTACTGATGGACAATTTAGCTTTCGCAGCAGCTTTACACAGATCACTTAAGTTCAGTAGATGAAAAGCAAATGGAAGTCCCTCGAGTCCTCACTAATTACACCACAATGAGTAGCAACGGAAATGTTAATGCAAAATGGGATTGTAAGACAGCATTACTACTGAGACATCTTTTGTACGCAAATTGAGATATTTGCATTTATGGCTCCCAAAACAACTGTAGCACTGACCCTTTCTGAAAGGGTGCAGTGGTGTTTGGCAGTGGTGTTTGTATGCAAACAACCAAATCTGGGTGCTATAGGCATAGCTTGTCTTTGGTGCTTGGTTTCCTAACTGCCGTGGTTCTCTCTGGAAACTCATAGATGTGGGGTTTTGGGGTTTTTTTTGGAAGCTCAGGAAGACTGTGGGAAAGGTGTGCTCAGTTGCTTGCTACTGCCAGCCTTGCTCTTTTGAGCACTCTTATGCCATTCCAGCCAGTGGAAGGTGCTTATTGACTTAGATAAGAATGCAGGATCAAACCCTGAGTAATTTAAAAAAAAAAATGCTGTGCTGGACAGATGTGTTTTGACTTGATGTATCTATTTATCTGTCTCTATATATTGACTTGATCAAGAAAGGAATCATCTGAAGTAAACAGAACTGACAAAAGTCAACCTGAAGTAAACTGTTGCAAATGAAATGAAAACTGACATTATTTCAGTTATGTAAACAAATGAAACAAAACCATTGAGCATACTAAGAGTTGGACTCAGAAAGGATGTGCTGAGGTGATTAATTAAATTCTCTGTTTCCTTGCTCCTTTTTGCACATCCAGGATGAGTGAAGCGACCGTTCGGGGACGACTGGAGTTTATGTTGCTCAGAGGCAGGGAAGACTTTCTGATTGCAGTTGTTAATCCCCTTCTGTTTTCATCACTCTCCACCTCTTCAGTTCCTTCTCCATCTTTCAGATCTCTCGCAGCCTCCCCTTTTCTTTGTTTTGAAAGGCTTCATGAAAAGTGCATCTATTGTAGGATTTCTGCATACAATTCTGTAGTAGGAGATTCTCACCCTTGGAAGTGATTAAAAGTGTACTGTTTGCAGAGCACTCTTCTTTGAGATTTATACAGCAGAGGAGATTGGCCATGTTGTTCCCTGCTGCAGGATGATTCCAGGAGTGTGTTAGGCAATTAGGCAGTAAGAAGTTTTATGTACATTGAGCAGTCTTTCACTAGCAAGTCTTTATGTCAAATTACAACGGAACCTGGGTTCTAGAATAGGAGAGACTAATTTCTAAAGAAATAAAAACCTGCTTTGAACAAAGCAAAGGCAGTGAGGCTTTAACCTTACCCTTGTAATTCAAGCGGTAAAACTTTATGGATTTGATTCAAACCGCTGGGAAATACGTGCTTAATCTGGAGTGTGTTGCCTCATAAATGTTACCAGTACCAGACCTCAGGATGTCACTTGGTACGTTGTTGCAATGATTTTCTGGTAGCAGGATCCTCTGATACCTAGACTGACTGATTCTTTTGTGCAGCATCTGTTCTGATCTAGGTTCCGATAGGCTATGATCAAGTTACCTCTTTATGTGTTTTACCCGAGAGAGAATTATTACCTACATTGTTCTCTAGTGAAAATGGCTGAAGCTTGTTTCTTGCTTTTTATTCAGAGTTCTTCCTTTTTAAAGAAAGAAAAGCTGTTTTATACTTCTCCCCAAGTGTGTATGTAGTGACCTGTAGAACTGACAGATGTAATTATTGTTTTGTTGTACGTCATAGTTTAGGCATACACAGCATTCGGTGGTCATGCCCATGCAGTAAGCCATCCGTGTTGGTGAGCGATCCCCTTCCCTTTTGCCAAACAGTGCTGAGTGCGCCTTGTTTGTACTGCTCTGAGCCAGTCTCCTGTGAGGTGATTAATTAAATGTGTGGCTGTTGGTATTCTCTGTAGTATGTGGAGCAATCCTGGAGTTTCGACATGGTCTGCAGGCCTTGTTCACGCTCTCCTCCGCAGCCAGTAAAGGCGAGGTGCTGCTCTGAGAAAACGATGAGCTTGTAAGCCTTGATAGGTTCCCTGTGACCTGCTGTCATAGAATCATAGAATGCTTTGGGTTGGAAGGGACCTTGAGAGATCATCGAGCCCAACCCCCCTGCAGTAAGCAGGGATTGAACCTGTGAACTTGTCTTGTGCCCTGACAGGTGTGTGGGAGACTGGAGCTGGATTTGTTTTCCAGCTTAACTGCTAGCATTCTGGGGGACGTTGGGGTGTCACTTACCTGTTGGGTTTCAGTTTACTGTATTCCAAGACAAGTGCAATGGTACTGACCTCGCTTTGTACAGTGCTTTCAGATCTGCTAAAAGGTGTTGTTTAAGGTATTGCTGCTTTGTGACAAAGGCCTACAAACATGTGTGACAGCTCAGACAGTGTGTGCAATTAGTTCTTAGTAGTGTCATAATAACCAAGTTACCTATGTTTGAGATAAGTGGTGAAGTTTTCTGCTGGCAAAAACCATTAGGCTTTTTTTTTTTTGGTCTTGCTCTGTTTTGTGGGTTATAACCACTTACAGGAATCTAGGAAGCATCAGTTAACTGTTGTCTGCTCTTCAAAGGACTTAAGATGTCAGTGTTGATCTTTACCTCTCCTCGTTCTGCCCAATCTCACAACGGTTTGTGGCTTTTGACCTTCTACCATATATATACCGTATATCAATTTGTTACTGAGAAATGATGCATGACTGTGCAAAGAGAGACTGACTTTGAGTCATCTTCTGAATTGGGTATCCCTGAAATTTCAGTGGGATGGATTTGAGATCTGGAGGGGATGCTTCTGTCTCGTCAGCTCCTTCATCCTGGTTGTTTGTCCAAACAGTGTTTTAACGTGGCAATACAGGCTAGTTCAAATGGGTCATACCACCATATAAAATAAAAGGAGGTGGAGCAGAAAACAGAATGTGGAAGATCATCCCTAGATAAAAGCCTTCCCTTAGCCCTGCTTTTTTTAAAAGTTCTTGTGACGCAGCTCTTGGCAAGAGAACAGAAGAGTGTGAACATCTTTGCAGTGGAGAGCAGAGAGGGTTAAGCAGTGAGATCAAAGGGAGGGAGTAGGGCTGAAATCCTCCATTGTGGAGGGTCAGGCTGCACCCTTCTATGGTTGGCTGATCTAAGGGAGTGCTGCTTCAGGAGGTAGGTAAGGCAGGAAAAACCCTTGCCCGTATCCCTTCTCCTTGCAGGGCAAAACCAGCAGGCTTGTATGGGTAGGCTTCGTATGGCATTTCCTTGTTTGCTTGCATCTTTGGTTAATGGCAGCAGCCTGTGTGAAGTTGATGTGCCAGCCTGCATTTTTTTCTTTCAAAAATCAGAATTGAAGCCTGCTGATAGAAACTCATGGGAGGTTACAAACAGTAAGCAGTGAGATTGCTTCTTGTTAGCTAATGAACAGTGACTTGGCCATCTATGAGGGAGCACCGTGTGCTCCTGCTGGGTTCAGTGTTTGCTGGAGGGGAGCTGCTGCTGTGCACAGAAACTGCCCTTGTGCTGGCAGCCTCCTGGTCCTGCTGCGTGCCCGGCAAGATCTCCTGCACACCCTCTTTGGTGCTTGCTGTTGAAGTTCCTGTCCACATTGTTGGGGCTTCTGAAGAGGTCAGCAGTAGATTCAGACCGATGATGAGATGGGTTTGCTTAACCTCAGAGAAGTCAGGAAGTTGACTTGAGATGTGGGCTCCGTTTTTGAGGATGGTATCAGGGTAGCATAGTGCTTGGACACTTTGATTTAGGGACCCTAAACACCCTGAGCATACTGTGTAGATTTCCCTCCCCCCTGCCCTGTCCGGAGTCTAATAATTGATCAAACAAAATGGTGTTTGACCAAGATCAAACAACAGTGTTTGACAGTAACTGATATAGTTGCAATTATTAGACTTCAGGCTCAGGAAGAATGCAAAGACCTGTGCCTGGCAACATGTACATATTTTTAGAATCACATCCTGGTGGTGCATCTGAAATGACTATATTCTTGATCACAAGGAGGACAGGAGTGATTCAGTATTCCTGACCAAGAATCACAGTCTTTTCTGGGAAATAAGTTAACAGTCATTGGATGTCCTCTGAACTTTTTTTCCATTCAGAAAGTCATGATAATTTTTTTCTTTCTTTTTTATAGCAATGCTGAGTGACAATAACTCTGTGAAGCCGAAAAGTGGTAGTTCACCTCCTGTGCAATGGTGTAAGGTGGCTGCACATGAAGATGAGAAGACCAAGCTGGTTTTTAAAAGGTACTCGCAAGTAAGTGTCATTGTCACGGCAATAGAGAGGTCAGTTGCTCTCCCTCTAGCCTGGGCAGTTACAAAAAGGATGCAAAAATCAAGGGGTGAGATTGCCACAGGAACTGAACGGAGGATTACACACAAATTTCCCTGGAGTACCTAAAACACTTTGAGGGCGTAGGCGCTATTGTAGTAGTACCCGTTTTCCCAAGCCAATGGGAGATCCCAGTACCTTGCTCGCAAGTATTTCCAATCTTTTTTGTATCCAGATGAGTAATAATGTTGAGGCTTTTGTACAGTCTGATAATTGAAGGGCAGTGGATATTTAGTGGGTAGTTTGGGGAGGTGTGCCCTCATAGTTAATTTGTTTATGAAGACTTCTGAAATGCTACATCACAAAATCTTCATTACTCCATTGTTTGTAGTTTAACATCAAATTGGAATTAATGAGTGTGTGCTAGTGTACATCCAGAACCACATTTTAAACCAAAAAAGCTCACTACTGTGACGGCTCTATGCCACATGAATTTTTAGGTCTTGAAGCTTAAAAAACCCAAAGCCAAACTGTTAGATCCACTGGTGTTTTGAGCACCTGAATGGTGCAGCCCCAGCTGAATCTAGAGATACTTGATAAACCTTTGTGGAGGAAAACCATCCTCATTCATCTGCTGTGAATCCCTTTTTTCTGCCAGTCAACTGATTTCCAGGGGTTGCAGCCTAACATGCTAATGAAGGTTTTAGGCCCCCTGTGAGAGCAAAATTTAATTAGTTAAAATCAGATGCAAGAACAGTGCTGCTTTTCCAGTGGCCACCTTATTTGCAGCACATACTGCAAATTAAGTGGCAGGATTGCATCTGTTGGCCCATATGTTACAAGCTTTTTTTAAAAAAAATCTTGGAAACCTGTATTAACATCATCTGAAAGAGTTTCAAGAAGCACTGAACACTTAGTAGGTTGTATATTTTTTTTTCAGACTTTTAAACAAATGTCCAGTCCTTAGGAAACCATAGGAAATGAAAACCAACTATAAAGCTCAAACAACATACTTGAGCAACAACCACAACTCTAACCAAATAATGATGTGAGTTTTGCAAATTGGTTTAGATGTGAAGTGACCCAAATGAATATTTGGAAATCAACAGTGAGATTCCTTAGAAATGAGAAATGAGTAGGTCAAAACCACAGATACCCTATATTACTTAATTTTAAAGTTTGGGGGTTTTTTTACTTCTGTGTGTTTTGGGCATGTAAATAATTAAATTAGGCTTCCAAGATAAACCTGAGCATCTAAATTCTGCATTCTAGCTTGCCCGTGAGTTGAAAGTTTTGCTTGTGAGTAATGGTTCTTGGCCCAAAATTGTGCAGTTTGAAGTTTCATCCCTTTCTTAACTTGCATGCAAATATATATTTCAAAATAAAGTTGCCCTTTCAAGTAGGAAAACAAAAGTCACTTTTGGTTTCTTTGTGAGAAGCTGTTTGAGCCATCAGGGATGCATTTAAAGTATACGATGCAGGCATAGAAATGCATAAATCAGAGTGTCAATATGCAAAATTTTCCTTATTAAAGCATCTATATACGTTTGTACTTTCCTACAGATAGCTCTGCAGAGTTGTGAAAGACTTGCAGTGAATAAAGCAGTAGTTTTTCTTGGTTTGACTCAAATGCAAGTATTCACCTGAAGTTCTTCAACTGCCTTAAATTTGTTTAAAAACACTCATTTAACAACTGATGGATTACTGGGGAAAAAAGATAATTTTTTTTCCTCTCTCCTACCCCTACACCCTCCTATTTGTTTTTAGACTTCTTGCACTGTTTGTGGTTGGAGGGTGCTTCCTTTATATCCTCAAATTACGTTTTGGCCCTGAAGAATGTGAGAGAACAAAAATGCCATATGTGGACCTCGATCGCGTAAGGGTTGGTATTTTTTGGCTTTTTTTTTTTACTTGCTTAAAAAAAGTTATTAATTGACAATATAGGAGTTATAAGGGTCTATAACAAAGAACTAGAATGCTGAAGTCATCTTATGAGGGAAAATATATTTTGATTCATTACATGCCATAGAACTTCTGGTTCTGCTTCTTGTGGAGTGACAACAGAAGTGCATAGAGAAACTGGATTTTTAGGGGTAAAATGAGATAACTGACTGGTAATTACATTTGAAATGGACGTGTCATCATACTATTGTGTCATGCAGGTTACACTCGTGATCTGAAAATCGGTGGAAATAAAAAGTAACATTTGGGGAAAAAGAAAAAAAAAAAAAAGCCCCAAACCCAACACACTAAACCAAAAGTTTATTTTTACCTAAGCCGGTTCCCCAGTCTGCTTTGCCTTGTAGTTGCTCAGATGTTTTTGGAATCACAGGGCAAATGTGCAGGAGGCTGCAGCTCTTCATTAATTTATTTAGGGTAGCAGCTACTTACTTCAACTACAGCTTTGCATGGGGCTTCTAAGCTGGTGTAACAGACGCCAATAAATCTTTTTCTTAATTCTTGCTGACATTTCTCTGCCTTTGCTACTTAACCTGTTTGCTCTTTATAACAGTACACCTTGGCTTAGAGTTGTTACATTTCTGTCTTTGAATGTCTCAACACTAAGACATAACTTATAGCAGAAGTCCTGATTTCTCATTTTAGCATCACTGTGTGTGCATCCTCCCCCACCTCCCACCTGCTTCAGTGCATGTTTTTCCCCTTCTGAGCGTCTTTGCCTCCCCTTTTCTTCTCATTTGACTTATTTCTTTTCTCAATAACGTATTCTTGCTTCCAAACAACCATCACCTTAAGCCAAGCAAACCTAAAGACTGCATGAACTGTGTTTATTGCTGTCTTGTGATTCATTTTGTTTGTGTTAGATGCAGGATGAGGAAATAGCATTGCTCTTTGTCTAGTTAGGTAGTAGCTGATTGCAAACTGTTTGGGGAAGTTGACAAGTGATTAGCATTATTTTTTACTGACAGGATGCACCACTGTCAGGCTTTTCCAAACATGCACTGACTCTTGCTGGCAAAGTACAGCCACCACACACAGAGTGTGTGTAGGCTTGTAGAGACCTTTGTAACGGTGGCAGAAGCAGTTCTCTAGACCAATCTTGTTTAAGAAAATAATAAAATAAAATCAGCACAACTTCCTTGTGCACCCAGATACACGCTTCCCTTTCCTTAACAGTACAGAAGAAGAACTGAGTTAGCACAAGATTTGAATCTCGACAATCTGACTGACCCTTGTGTTTGCTCATGTTTTTCATTACAGTAGAGGAAAGATCAGCAGAGTTGTATCGGGGAAGAGACCATGCAAAAAGGCTTTATTTTAACTGATAAAAATAATACCTTTGCTATTTCTCCTCTTCGTTACATGAGGTACCGGCTTGCTGCTACAGATTTCTAAAAAACGTACATGAATAGGTTTTTTTTAATGAGATGGATCAATGTGTAGTTTTATCTGACAGCTTAATCTTTTTATGCAGTGTGGAACTGTAGTCTTTTATTTTGGTGACTCGTCTTTGAAAGAAGACCTGAAACACCTCCACCCTGCATTTCTTTTAAAGTTGTATTTTGGGCATTAGCAATACTACTTTAGCAATACTTCTGGAAGAATTGTTGCTTCATTTTGATTAGTAAGCAAGTCCAGTGGACAGTGGAGTAGAATTCCACTTGTTGGCTTGCTGCTGAATTAGATGGGTAGAAGTACGTCTGGATTTTTGAATCTGTTTTTTGTAAATAACAGTACAAATGTTCTCAAATGGCTCATTTTCACTTCTCTCTCTTAGTAGCCTAATTTGTTCTTTAGAAAAGCTCCTATCCAGATTTAAGTGATTGGATGGAGAGATGTTCCTTTGCAGGTTTTCACCCTGCACTGGTTAGTGTCTACGTTTGAGGGAATGCTCTAAAATGTCTTGTATTTCCCTGTTTAAGCTTTCTTTATAAACCCCTGTGTTTGCTAAACTGCAGTGGTCTGCTGGTGGGTTGCATTATGAGGACTTTGTATGTTCCTGAAGCTAGCTTTCCTGACTGAAATCATGTATGTTTTGTTTTAGAGAGCACAACAGTATGCCAGCGCTGCATTGCAGGAACAGTGCCGGCCTTCTTACGTGAAGAAAGAAATGGGGAAGTTATTTGCGGAGAAATATAGCATGGACATACCTCCCTTCGTAAGAAAAAATGTAAATGAAGATGAAGCTTTATTTAAATATGAACCTCCTTTTGGATTTCACAAGTTCTTTGATAAGCTTAAAAATCTCCTTGAACTCTTACCTGAGCATGATTTGCCAGAAGATTTGAAGTCAAAACACTGTAAGCGTTGTGTTGTCGTTGGCAGTGGTGGAATTCTTCATGGGTCAGAGCTGGGTCACTTATTGAATCAGTTTGATATTGTTATAAGGTATGTATTTTCCGTTTCAGGATTCCAACTACTCCAACTTTACTTTATGAGCTGGCTTTGTTTTTTAAGGGACCTATTTTCCGTTTAAGGATTTCAACTACTTCAACTTTACTTTATGAGCTGGCTTTGTTTTTTAAGGGGAAGGTATCTCCAACGTTTATGCAACTTATAAGACTATTTCAGAAAGTGCTTTTGAGAAATTTACTTGTGACTTGATGGAATTAGAAGTCTTAGGAGCAGAATAAATTGTCATGTTCACAAGACAGGAATTCAGTGTAATTATTTGTGGACTTCAGATACAAAAGAAAAACCATGGGCAGAAGTGAGACAGAAACTAGTGAAATCGTAGATAAGTAGACAATCCTGTTTTTATCTATTCATATGTTTAAGCTTTCAGAGGTAGGCTTTAGGACTCACCTCTGCTTTTCCCCCTTGATTAGTTGGGATGCTTATTTGAAGGATTTTTTTATAACAGCTATTTCAAACACAGTAAAAATTAATTGGTGTTTCATTGTACAGTTTGCTTACACACAGCATAACATGCTTGTCTTTCCTTACCTTTACAAGATCAATGCATGCTTTCTATGAGTGCCCATGTTTTCTAATGTCTGAATTAAATGAATACATGCTCTGTATTTGTGCCTTCTGAACGTTGTTGTTTGAACTCGCCACCTTTGTATTTTGAATCATGTAAAGTCACAAATAAATTTAATACAAGCATTTTCCCAAGTTGCTTTGTAAACTAAGATTTGCTCCTCTTGAAGAGGGAAGACTTGATACAGTGAGTCAGTATCTCTTATACAAAGGTAAACAAACCCGTTAGAGCGTGGAGGGATGGAGAGCTTGCATTAACTGTTCTCTGAAATTAGGGCTGGCAGGGTGAAGGTGACTTTTCTGTTGGTGTAGAAAAGTTTGCGGGACTTAGCTGTTCTGCAGAACTGATAGAGCTGGATGTGCTAGCATCTGAAATTTTTGGTGAGCTGGAATGATGTAAATCCACAGGATGCATTACATTGCATTGAAGGGCTAATTTGAATGCCTCTCTGTGTGTAATACTCGTGTGTGTGTGTATATATACATGTTTATATATAAAAAAAAAGATAAGGCAAGCAACTTCCTATGTGTTTCTTTTCCTTCCTCTTTTAAGCCTCTCTGAGTTGGCACAAGGCAATGAAGTTCTGCAATGCTGTTTAAGTTACTTTTCTATTCAAGCTTTTCTTTTTGAAGTTTTGCACTTGTGCCAGTTATTCCAGAAATAGAATTGGCTTCCTCTCAAAGATAAGGCATGGATGAGTGTGTGAGGCGAGGAACATGGAGATACTGAGAAAACGCTGTACTCCGCTCTGTTAAAAATCTGTGGGCCAAATACAATTCTTTGCTTAGTGTCTGATGCTTTAATGAGATTGTAACCCATACTTATTAAATACAGTTTCTCTCTGTTGTGGTTTTTTTTTTGTTAGGTTAAATGATGCACCAGTTCAAGGATACACAGATCACGTTGGTAACAAAACTACTATACGGATGACTTACCCGGAAGGAGCCCCCCTTTCTGAACATGAGTATCCTCCTGCTAGCTTGTTTGTGGCTGTTTTGTTTAAAAGTGTTGATTTCAATTGGCTTCAAGCAATGGTAAAAAACGAAACCTTGGTATGTAATATGGCAGTTATATACATGTGATTTTTGTTTGTTTTTTCTAATGCTTAAGAAGCTGGCTGGTCTGTTACTTCCTGTTTTATTATACTGAGAATCTTTTATTTAACTTTGTGGGTTTTTAGCTATGTCTCCTAGTTACAGTTGGTGCCAGCATTCACGTTGAAGCCCCAGGCTGACAATAATACTTTCTTTTTTTTCTGCAGATATTGGTAGTTTGCACCAAGCTACAGGACAATTGAGTGTTTACTGAAGTGGAATTAATTTCACATTAGGTTTAAATGACTTGTTCAGGTCTGCAGAGCCTGAAACAGAAATGAGATTTCTGGATGCTAGTCCATTTTTTTTTTTTTAATAGCTAAAGCCTGTGCTGCTACAATTGGCATACCTGCAGTTAATGTGTAACTGAAGCATCGCAGTTGTTAGTTCACATTTGTCTGTGGTTCCAAAATTAAGAGGTCATTTATTTCTCACTGAATATTTAAAGAAGTGCAGAGATTCCTAAGGAACTGATACAAGGGTTCCATGTTTCCAAATTCTCTTTAAATTGGTGGGGTTTACCTCTTTCAATTTGCAGGCAGATAATTTCTGCAAGTTGAAAACAAGTAGCTAGATTTCTCTGACCACAGATTGAAAACAAGTGCTCTAAGTTATTGAGATAGCTTTAGAAGAAAGCCTGACAATTTTTTTAACAATTTAATATATACTAGTTTAGGTACTCCAAGTTCCCTTCTTAATTCTGTGATTTTTTTACAAAATGAGAGAAGGTCTGTTTAATATTAACCATGAGTGTCTACTACTACTTTAGTCCAGAGAGTGTGTGCAGGGTTATTGCCTTGTTTTGAATAATCTGAGTATGTTTTGTAGAGGGGAGATTTTCCTGAATGCATGAATTTGCTCCAACTTAAGAACTTCTGCTCTCTGGGTTTTTGTTTTGTTTGGGTTTTTTTTTTTATGGGGACAATAAAATGTTGGTCTATGACCTTCCCTGCAGCAGTGTGGTAATTTTGATGACCAGCAGCTTTCTAACTTGAGTTGAATCCCTGACATGTTTTACAAGCTATTTCATGTTTTAAGGTTTGGTTTTGAAGAATGACTAGTACAAGGATGGCTTTCTGTATTAAAGTTTGGTTTGGGGGGGATTGAAAGAGTGATTGCTTTTTGGCATCTGCAGCATCCTCTGTTAGTGAGTTACAAGACTGAAGGATGTGCTTTATGAAAAGAGTACCTTTTTTTGGTTTGCGTGGCTTAGGAGCAGATCTGCTCATTCCCACCTTCTTCCTTGCTCTAGTGTTTTTGCTGGTGCAGAGAGCCAGTTTGGGGAACTGATCTGGGAATGGATGTACCAGAGAAAGTCCACCAAAGGGCCATGAAGATGCTTAAGGGACTAGAGCATCTCTCCTATGAGGAAGGGCTGGCAGCGCTGGGGCTGTTTAGCCTAGAGAAGAAAAGGCTCAGGGGAAATATTACTAGTGTACATAAATACCTGAGGGGAGGGTGCAAAGAGGATGGAGCCAGACTCTTTTTCAGTGGTGCCCAGTGGCAGGACCAGAGGCAACGGGCACAAACCGAAACACAGGAGGGTCCCTCTGAACGTCAGGAAATACTTTCGGACTGTGAGGGTGACTGAGCACGGGCACAGGTTGCCCAGGGAGGTTGTGGAGTCTCCATCCTTGGAGATATTCAAAAGCCATCTGGACGCGGTCCTGGGCAACCAGCTCCAGGCATCCCTGCTCAAGTAGGGTTGTTGGACCACTTGACCTCCAGAGGTCCCTTCCAACTTCAACCACTCTGTGATTCTGTGAATTGAAAACATACTACTTCTTTCAAATACTAGGCTTTCAGCTGGATCAGCTCTCTGTGCAGGCATTGGTGCTTTAGTAAACTTGTTCAGAGCGCAGGTGGGAAGACGAGACCATGGCAACCTAGATTTGATCAGTTTAAGCTGCCGTAGAGTTGTATGTTAACAGCAATAAGCCTGTTTAAAAAATACAGGTCTATGCTGCAGCTATATGAGTTTTATCATTTGCTTAGTGTTACGCATTATATGGAAAGATTTGTAAAATGAGCCTGATTTAGTCTTGTTTTTTCCATTAGCATGCATCTAATTGCAAGTGGCAGGAGATCAGAATCTAGCTTGCTGAGTCTTGTGTAAATTCTCTTCTGAAGTGTTACATTTATCACTAGGTGGATGCTGTCAAGCAACAGCTGTTCACTTCAAAGCCTGAACAAAATTGTTTTAAATCCAGTGCTTGCTTCAGAATGCCTGGTTAATGTTCGTGGAAAACCGTGGTTCTCTTTCCCATTTCTTTAAATACTGCTGCCTGCTCAGTTGTGCTGGGGAAGGTCCAAAGAACCTTGTGGATTCTGGTGGATATGTTGGCTGACTAAACACAAAGTGCAGTCAAATATTCAGAGGAAACAACTTTTTCCCCCTGCTATCCTCTCTGCAGTTCCAAATATTTAGAAGGTTTTTCCTCTTTTGGGTCAGTCACTTGAGCTGTATGCTGGTATTCCTGAACCCACCTTAGCTGTAAACTGTTTCCTGAATTTCTCAGAATCACTGATGAATTCTAAAACTTCTGTACTGTCTGCAGGATGCTTTGCAGTCTGAGAGTTTGCCTTTGCTGAACTATTTTTTTTTTTTTCTCTTAGCCTCTGTGGATGCGACTCTTCTTTTGGAAGGAGGTTGCTGAGAAAATCCCTTTTGCATCAAAGCAGTTTCGGATTCTGAATCCAGTCATCATCAAAGAGACAGCTTTGGACATTTTACAGTTCCCTGAACCTCGATCAAAATTCTGGGGTTGGGATAAGGTAAGAAGTTTCTTTTAAGGAGAAGGAGACTATAAAATAAAAAGTAAAACAAGAAACTGAAAAAAGTTTTGGGCTCTTCCTTCAATATAGTTTCTCTGTGCAGTTTCAGAGCTGGTCTCAAGTAATAGGGAAATTGATGCGCTCTCAAAAGACTCTTGTATTTTCTTGTGTAAAATCGAAGTAGGATTTCAGCTTACCTTTTTAGATGAGGTATGCCTGTGCATGCTGACATGAAATGGCCTATTTTACAAAGCATTCAGATGCAGTGAGACATAAGTTAATTCCAGTACAGTGTGTTCACTCACACATCATTGTGACTGGTGTTAAATATTCAAAAGATGCATTTGGTGTATGGTAACTGTGTTAAGAGCAGCCCTGTTAAGTCAAACCAGCAATCTGCTACAGACAGATGTGTCTCTAGCTGCAGGGAGAGCAGAGGGAGTATGGAAACCAGGCCACTGTAAAGCAACCTTCCAGCTGTTGGAATTGCTGTATGCCGGTGTGCTCAATAGCAACTGATGGGTATACCCTCCCTCTATGTCCTTCACTCCAGCAATAGTGTGGAGTGATGAATTGCCCAGTTTAATTATGCCCTGCATTTTTGTTATTGTAATCCAATTTCTCAAACAAATAATGTCCCTAATTCTCTTGAACTATGAAAAATACTGAATAACCATCATCTCTTTAAATGCTTTCACACAAAAGGTAATGGTAGAGTTCTTGCACAAAGGTTTGAAGGATCTTCTCATATTTATTTATAAAAATAATGTAACATACCAAGCTATGTATCTTTTAGTTGTATCGCAGTATACTTGCCTTCTTCATGGGTTATTCAGTGAAAAGTCATATTACAAAGAATACTGTTAGCCTGTTGCTCAAGACTGAAGTGAGCATGCATCAAGGAATGTCAAGTTTAACTGCCTGTCAGGAGGAGTTTTGAGTATTTGGAGTGAGGGTTCACTGGTAGTTTAACTAGATATTAATACGGCATCTTGCCTTCACAGAAAAAAATTGAGAGTTGACAGCCAAAAGTCTTGTTACAGGCAAATACTCAAGTTGTATTAGTATTTGGCCCTGAAGTTTTTAGTTTTACTTGATCATTTAGTTTAGTTTTAGTTGTAATTGATTTTAATTTTAATTGATTGTTTAATTGATTTCAGTTTTAAGTGAGGAGAGGGAATAGACAAAGCCATTACATTTTGTGAAGTGTTTATAAAACTGGTAAAGGAGAATATACTTGAAATCAGCAGGCTTCTTTTCCCCCCCTTTTTTAGAATGTTCCTACAACCGGGGTCATAGCAGTTGTTCTGGCCACACATTTATGTGATGAAGTGAGCTTAGCAGGGTTTGGATATGACCTCGATCAGCCCAGCACACCTTTGCACTATTACAACAACCTCTGCATGGCTGCCATGAACAGACAACCTATGCACAATGTGACAAGCGAAACAAAATTCCTGCAAAAACTGATCAAAGAAAAAGTTGTCAAAGACCTCACTGGTGGGATACATTGTGAATTCTGCGGTGAAGACAGCTAGTGATTGAAGTGCGGCATGGTTTGGATTTGTTAAATTTCCAGAGGTTCAGCTGGAACAACCTTTTCACTGTCTTCAGGAGTTCCTTAAAGTGTGTATAGAATGGACGGGAATCTCTGCTGCCTTTTTTAATGTCAAGTTCAATTTGTTGGACTTTTAAATTTATTTTGATGTCAGATGTTACTTTGCACATTTTTGTGGATAACTATGTAAATACAACTTGGAGTTGAAAGAGATCCATTTAAAATATTTAATGTTTTAAGTTGTCTGAAGAAAAGTGGAGTTTTTGTTTTCACATGTATAGGGTACGCACAACGATAGCCTCAGTTGTCTAACAGCACATGAGTTATTTTCCACTGAACTACTGGTTTTGTCGATGCAGTTCTTGGTGTGCGACTCCTTTTCATGCATGACATGAAAAGAAAGGCATATGCTTCTCAAGTCTTTCATTTCTTGCAACTTGAGCATTGTGTTTCCCCCTGAAATATAAATATTATTTTGTTTTTGTACTAATATTTTGTTGGGGGTGGAGGAGGAATGTGGGAGTGGTGGTGAAGGAAAAGGAGCTGTTGTGGTAATGACTGAATAGTAAGTACTTTGGCATTCATGATTGATATTAAAATCATCGATGCATTAATGTATTGGGTTAGAATCGTGCTTTGTCATGAGGCATGTTTGTGCCCAGGGCACACTATAAGAGGATTTAGCTAGTAGGAGACTTTCACCTGAATCAGATCTTTTGTCATTTGCATTCCTTAATACCAAGATAAATGTTTCTAACTAGTTGATTTGTAGCAGGGTTCAGCTACCCCCAATTAAAGGAGTGGCATTAATACAAAATCTGCCCACTTTTTTTTTTGAGTGACTTGAGAATTGCTGGTTTTATCAGACACTGGTTTGTATAAATCTTCCATTTAGCAATAATAGAATCTATGACTAGGCTAAAATTTCTATTGGTTTACTTTATGATCCTTTAGTAATTAATTACAGATACTGTAATCTTAATAGTTTACAATGGTGATAACCCTCGTGATCTCTAGTGTTGACTATTTATCTGAAGGGAGAAGTAGGAGTTGTTGGTTTTCCCAGATCAGCTTTTAAGTCAGCAAGTGGGGGGGTGTGTATGAGTTAAGAAGATCACTTTGGGGAAAGTAGTATGATCTAGTAGCAAGCTAGATAACTGCTAAAAGCAGCATACTTTAAAAAAAAAATGCTATAAATATATGTTCTTGTGACTGGAAATCAGTGCATTGCAATGAAACTGGACTGTGCGGATCTTCAAGCAGGTTTTGGTGTTCATTTTCATTTTGTTACTAGTAGAGTAGTAGGTATGACTGTGTTTGCACTGAGTAGTGTTGTTACACAATCTACAGTATATGAAAAATGCTTTCGTTGGGAATGAAAGCATGTTAGCAAATTGATCAAAGGTTGGCCTAGAAACTTTGTTCATAGTCATGGACTCTCCACATTGTGAACATTCCCACTTTTTTTTTTGTTATGGGCTAAGATGAATGTAGTTGTAGTTCTAAATTTTCAAAATACTAATGTGGGAAAGCAAGATGAGGGTGGTTGGGTGGTTTATGTTTTTGGTGGTGTGGTTTTTTTGTCTTTTTTTTTTTTCCATGGAGAGAAGTTCTAATGAATGATAACGTTAGAACGCAGCAGCAGCAGACTGATTCTGGCTATTATACTAAAAGGCAATAAAATGACATCACATCATAAAGCGTAACTCTGAAGAAAGCTGTGGACCTCATCTTTTGTAAGTCCCATGTACCTACACGTCCTTGAAAGCCAGTTGTGGATGGCAAGCAGATTTGAAAATCAGATTCTTGTCTCTGGCACTGTTTGTGTTTATAGCAATAATGGTAATCTAACTTCTCCTCTGTGAAATACATTAATTTTGTACTAGCAATAAATTCCTAGTCTATGTTTGTCTTGTAAGTATAATAATTGTATTGTTTAATTTAGAAATATTCCATGTGTGAAGAGTTTTATACGGATAGTCTTTTAGTTAATATATTAAAATGTGCTAATTATTTTTGCCTGGTATTTAAACTGGAAGCAAAGTACTTTAATTTCATTTGGTATTAGTGAAATTTTGGAAAATTTCAGAACATGTGCATTGGGAGGACATCCTGAATACACCGAAAGTACGTGTTTCAGAGCACTTGGTCCCTCGGCAGTTTGCTTTACTCAGTAACTTAAAAATAATCAGTTGATTAATGTAAATGCCAATAGCTTTTTGGAGATGCTGTATTTACTGTCAAATTCTCAAATTATGTTGATGTAGGATTAGATTGTTTTCCCAGCAGTTTTATGGCTTGTGATAAAACATTGTTCTCCGTGGTGGTGTGTACTGCATTGAATACGCCTGCACAGACTCAACCATCCATGAAATGGCAGCAAAGTTCAGGTTGCAAAAAGCAATAAACTGATGAAACCACTTTGTACTAATATATTTGTCTCACAGTTTGCAATTTGTTCTGCTTCCTTTATTAAGGATTTTACGTGTCTTGCTGGTCCGATTGAAAGTATTGATGCAATTGCACGCACTCAAGAAGAGGGGAGTTAGTGGCCGATGATAAGTCTTTCTCCTTTCATTTATGACTTTTTGTTACCTGTCAGCGGAGTGATATCTCTCTGGTGCCTGGAAGAGAGACTCCATCTCAAGACTGACTAATGTGGATGAGAATATTTCAGACTGGGTTATAGCACTGGCCTTAAATTCAAGGGTGTGTCTCCTTCACTGGTGGAGACAGACTGTAGCTTCTGGTCTGTGCTTCAGTCTTGCCGGGGGTGAGATACGAACAAAAGCCGTGTGTGTCTCCATGCTGCTGTGTCCCAGATCTTATCCTTTGCAAAGAATCTGCATCATCCCTTGTAGATATGCCTTAATGGTGTTTGTTTAAAAAGTCAACAAAGAAGTCGGGAGCTGTGATAAAGCCATTGTGTTCCACATCAGAATTTCTCTTTGTGACTCTGCTTTCTGCATAGGAACGTAGGAACCGTCACAGTTACGTATGTGTCAGACCTGTTCGGATGCTGAGGTTTTTTTCATGGTTCCTGTGCAGGGAACCTAACTTCAACTTTATCCTCCCTCGAATCTAGAGTGGTTGTTACATACTTGTGTTATCTGTTACGCTTTAGTCTTTCAGGTGAGATAAGGAGAAATTCTCTGTTAGGACTGAATAATTCTGAAACTGTTTTGAAGGTCTAGGTAATTTGTGAAGCTTTTTATTCTTTCAGTATGTTCAGATTTGTACGGCCACTTAGGGAATAGCAAAAGTGATGAACAACATACTTATTTTGGCTAGGTCCGACTTGTTCAAAGAAATGGGAACTTCGAATTGCCAAGTGTGACTTTGTGGTGCTGTTTTTCAAGTGTTTATAGGAGTCCTGCACCCAGCGGGTTTATCTTTAGCTGGAGACAAACTGATGTCACCTTGGAAAAGTACCATGGGTAAGGTTACAATTTCTTTCTTACGGTGCCACGAACGTGTGCCAAAGTCGCAGGACGAGATGTAGAGAGGTGCTTGGGTGCAGAGTGGGAAAGTGCCAAAAGTGGTGGTTACGGACCGCGGTCAGTGGCTGGGTGACATTGGACCTGGATGTTCAGCACGTAGGCTGGTCTGTTGAGGTGCTGCTAAGGAACGGAAGAGCAGTTCGGCCTCTGCGGCGAAGGGGTGTGTGCTGATAGCTTCAGCTCTCCTGCTGCAGTTGGAACAAAAGCAGGAGATGGGGGGGCGGTCAGAGGTGGCAGCTGTGTAGCGCGAATGTGTCCTGTCTGCCTGTCGCCGAGGGCAGATGAAGGAAGAGCTCGTGCGCCTCTGTTCAGACTAGCGCAGATGCGATGCTGTGTCTTCCTTCCTCTAGCCGGCCAGCAGCAAGGTTTTATACAAATACTGATTTTACCAGCCTCTGCATCTTGCCCTCTGAAATTTCTGTTGCCTGGGAAGGCTCTTGCTTTTCCTAATTTCAAACGTACCTAAGGTGATGGTATTCCACATAGCTCTTTTATTATTAAATAAATGCAGGATATATGTGCTGACAAACTAATGGTTGTTGCTGTCATCTAAAAGGAAGGCTTTTTGTTTCCTGGGAAAGAACAACCTTGCCCGTGTGTTATAAACAAAAAGCCCAGCAACATCCTGCCTGGTGGGGTTGAGATAATGACAAACTCCAGCAAAACTGGAGAGTATGATGGTATTTAAAAATGCTACTGCTGAAAAGCTAGGTGCTGTTGAAGAAACCATTGACTGAAGTGACATATGACCAGATCCAACTATGAATTAAAGGGTAGAGAGGGACAGCTGAGCCCTGCTGTGGAATGCAACCCCTTTGTTCTGCAGCTGCCTAACTCTGGAAATGTTTACCTTCTTGCAGCAGCACAGGTGTTGACCTGAAAGTTCCCGAAGCCCTAGGAATCATGTTTGTAGACAGATGTAGTGTGCTGGTTTTGGCTGGGTTAGAGTTAATTTTCTTCATAGTGGCTAGTATGGGGATATGTTTTGGATTTGTGCTGGAAACAGGGTTGATAGCACAGGGATGTTGTCATTACTGCTGAGCAGTGCTGACACAGAGTCAAGGCCTTTTCTGCCTCTCACCCACCCTGGGGGTGCACAAGGAGTTGGGAGGGGACACAGCCGGGACAGCTGACCCCAGCTGACCGTTGATATTCAACTGATATTCCACACCGTATGATGTCATGCTTGGCATAGAAAGCTGGGGGAAGGAAGAAGGAAGGGGGGGGATGTTTGGAGTGATGGCGTTTGTCTTCCCAAGTCACTCTTATGCGTGCTGGAGCCCTGCTTCCCTGGAGATGGCTGAACACCTGCCTGCCCATGGGAAGTAGTGAATGAATGCCTTGCTTTGCTTGCATGCACGGCTTTTGCTTTACGTATTACACTGTCTTTATCTCAACCCAGGAGTTTTCTCACTTTTACGCTTCCGATTCTCTCCCCCATCCCACTGTGGGGAGTGAGCGAGCGGCTGGGTGGTGCTTGGTTGCCAGCTGGGGTTAGACCATGACATCCTGGTAGGTACATCCTGGTCGCAACAGGTTTGA